CTCTTTTTGGAGCCTGCTATTCACATCGTGATGTAGACATGGGAGCCAAATTGGGGGGAGTGTTGAAAGTGTTGGATCCTCAGCATGAAATGAGTTATGTGGTGCTGTCGAATCTGTATTGTGCAAGTGAGAAGTGGAAAGAGGCAGAGTTGGTTAGGAAAGCGATGGCTGATCATGGGGTGAAGAAGATGCCTGGTTGTAGTTGGATTGAAGTTAAAAACAAGGTGATGGCTTTTGTTGCTGGTAATGGTTTATGTGTATACAAGGAAGACATGTCTTCCATTTTATACTTGCTTGAATACCAATTGAAGAATCCATGCTGGTGGAATTAATTAAAAGGTGCACATTTTCATTCACTTTTCCTTTTGTTCTTCACTCCGGTGTTACATGTTTTCCATGTATAGCTCATTTAAAATATCCGACTCTCGATCAAAACATACAGTTTCAGACATTGACTTTTCCTTGGCAATTATGATTATTTGGCGTACAATTGAAACTCCATTAGTTGATGCTCGATTATTAAATAATCTCTCTTGGATAATATTTTTGGTAGGTCCAGCTCCAAGATGACGTATCAAAATAATAATTCGCTAAAATTATAAGATCGTACATTTTTGATTATTCATATAGAACCCATGTAAAATATAAATTAATAATTCCTTGTATCTATATCTATCTATACTACATTAATAAGCATTTAGGTCAATATCTTAATTACAAATCTTGAAGCATGGGTTACAACCATTTTATGCAATAAATTCAAAAAACTCTTAATTACAAATTATTATACACAATGTACAAACTTCTTATGCAAGTGTTTTCTACAACAACAAATCCTAATTGAGTCAACCGTCCTTTCTCTCCTCAGACATCTAAAATAACCAATTTAAGCTTTCTTTTCTTCTTCTGTATATGCAACTAAACCCTTTCTTCTCCACATAATTTGACCATCAATTCTCTTCTCAGACATCTAAAATAACTTTCTTCTTCTTTTGTATATGTGACCAAACCCTTTCTTCTTCACAGAATTTGACCATCAACAATACGAATTCCCACTCCCGAGTTAAATGAATTCCTTCGTCCCTCCAAAAATCTAGATTTTTCATTTCAATTTGTTCTTCGATGAGGTAACGTACGAAAACCCTAAATCTTGATTTCTAATCTCGATTCACTATTGATCGTTCTTACAGGTCCATCTTTGCAGATATTCTTCAATTTTGTGTTTGAGTTATTACCTCCGATAACCAGAGCGTCCCATTTCTTCTTGTTTAAGGCTGCACTGCATCTCTCTATATCCATCGGTCAGGAGGCTCCAAGTTCGTCTGATGCAAGTGAGTTCATGTCTAGAACTTCATCTCTTCTTATTTTAGTTGAGTTCTTTATGATCTGGGTTTCTATGTTTAAATTGTGAAATCACAAAAAAGACAGTAGAAACATTGCACAATTTTATGGGTATATCTTAATAGGTTTAAATCAGAACTTGAGTATCTCCAATTGGGTTGAAAAACAGGATTTTATAAGTGGTTAAAATCCATTCAGAAATGCAATGGATGTCAATATTGTTGAACTCTTTGCATGTTTAGGTTTTCATGTTGATATTTTCTTGTTTGCACGTGAGAGTGAGGTTTCATATTTTGCAGATGCGGCTGTTGCTTTGATGGTGGGTATTTATTAATCATAATGATTTAACTCTTTTAAATTCGTAAATGTGTCTTGGGGTTTTTTTTCTCTTCTTCTTGATGATACTCTACAATGGTTGTATGCTTGGTTGTATGATAGTCTATAATGATAACTCTGTAACGACTTCCAAGCATACAACCATTGTAGGTGGTGGAACTGAAGATGATGTCAATCCTACCGGTGTTGGTGGGTTCATAGCCTATCGAGCTTTGTCTCAAAGAAACCACGAGCCACATAAGGCTCTAGACCATTTGAATGAATGCAAATTTGTATAATTGAAAGCAAGAATACAAAACACAATTCACCATCTAAAAAGATTCATRTCACTACAATTTATTTATTACTAGTATTAAGGCAACTTGTGCTTATTATGAACTTAACGTCTACCATTAAATTTCAACWWCTTGTGCAAGTGCAAACTATTGCTTTTATGCAGCTGAAAACCACATCAGAAGMGCAGAAACTTATGTCATGGTGGTTGGTGGAACTGAAGTTGTTAATCCTATAGGTGTTGGTGGGTTCATAATCTGTAGAGCTTTGTCTAAAGGAAACCACGAGCCACATTAGGCTCTAGACCATGGGACCAAGATCGTGATGGTTTTGTTATTGGAGTCATGGTATATAACTTCATTTCACATTCTTTTAACCCCAACTCCATTAATAATTAATGACTTTCAAAACTAAAATTTATGCATCATTTTCCAAAATACAGAGAATATTAATCTATTGTAGGGCGAAAAACTGAAAATCACCCTGATACAACTACGGATCCAGAATTTTTTTCAAATCGTAGTAACACCCTAAATTTATAGTAAACAACAAATTTGTAATTTACTCAATTTTATTTCTCTTTACCATGGATAGGCCTGTAAACGAACCGAACATTCAGCGAACCATTCGTGAACCATTCAGCGGGAAGTTTGTTTATTTAATAAATGAACGAACATGAACACTTTTTTTTTTGTCCGTTTAGTTAAACGAACGAACATGAACAAAAGTGTCGTTCATTCATTTATGTTCGTGAACGTCTATTCATTTACCGTTCGTTTACGTTCGTGTATATTCGTTCGTTTACGTTCGTGTATATTCGTTCGTTTACGTTCATTTATATATTAAATTTAATAAATTATATTTTATTTATTTACTCTGAATTCAAATAATATTTATTTATGTTCGTTTAGGGTTTAGAGTAAGGAAAAAAACTCACTTATCGGATAAGATTTTAGTCTATTAATACAATTTTTTCCTAGTAATGCTTATCAGATAAGAGTCATCACTCTCACTGACAGGGTAAAAAACCTCATTCAGTAAGCGATACTTAAAATATGAAATAGGGATGGGCATGCATACATGAATTAATGGATAGAGAAAAAGAACAAACAAACGAACCCAACAAATTCCATGCAGAATAGGGTCTAGTCTAGTGGATAGAAAGGAGGCAGATGCTACCTGTAACTGAGGGGAAAAGACGAATATAACCCAACAAAAAAACCAGAAGAAAGACAACATATTGTAGAAGAAACTCAAGTATGAGCCCTAAAATTAGTAATCTAAAGATCACTTTCTTGTGGTTATCTGCTTGCAAAACCTATTGTTGCCCTTTGTGTCTCTTCAATAACTTGTAGATCCCAAATATGTTTTTCTCCTCCCAAACATATGGTATGAAGAACGATCGGTGTAAAGGGGGCGAAAGTTCCCTATCTAGATATGGCAATGCTGCAACCACCTACACGACCAATCGCTTGTCATATATTTTCACCCGTGTGTTAAAGAACTGGAGGACTGATTTTTTGCTTCAACAGATTCTCCAAAATGGAGAAAGTAGGAGACAATGTGTGAAATTCTCTAAATTGGGAGAAATCCCAAAAATGATTACCATTCGTCCCTATGGTTTGTTAATAATTTCGATTTTTGTCCTTGTGGTTTATCTATTCAATGATGCATATTACTTAAAATTCAAGATTACAAGTAAATGGTGCATGAATACAACTTTTTGTTTGAATTCATATAACTAACTGATAAACATAATTAAATACAGATAAAAATCTCATTTTAAATATAAAGTATCTAAAATATAATTAAGATAATCATTAACTTATAATGGAATACTTACATATTATCTTTATAACAAAAATTATATTATTAAACCTAAAATAAATTAATTCGTTATTAAACTCAAATTAAATTATAATAAAAAGATTGAACTAAAAATTATATTTATAAAAAAAATATATATTATTAGATCTAAAATAATTTACATCGTTATTAAACCTAAATTAAAATATACTAAAAAATGATACAAAAAACGAGAATTTTTAAATTGTTAATTTGATACCGATAGATTTTTTATGGATCTTCAATTTTATATTTTATTCAAATATAAAAGCAGTATCGTTTTCTCAAAACCATACAAAACTGTGTTACAAAACAAAACATTAAAATCGAGAATAGAGAATCAAAAGTTAAAATCTCGGAAAAGAATTACATTCAACTCCAAAAGATTCTCTATTTTAGAGTTTTAACATAAATTAGATTATTACAGTATTCTCTAATTTATCATCCTAATACACTTTTAAAAAGAAACTATATATAAAATAGTTATAATTAAATCTTATTGGTGGGATTAAATACAATAATAATTTCTCTCTCTCACAAAATCAAGTTGTATAGAATTCTCCAAACTTGGAGTTTTTTCATGTTTTTGCCATTTTAGAGAACATTACAGAAAATCTATTGGAGAAATATAGAGAACAAAGCCTTTATTTTCTCTATTTTAGAGGATTTGTTGGAGATGCTCTATAATCTCTTTTGGAAATTTTGAATTTTAATGGTCCATTTTGGAGAATCTGTTGGAGATGCTCTTATACGTCACATATAAAGAGAAAGATCTCCCTCACACACTTTTAACAACCCAGGGGGCTTCACGAAATCAATCGCTCAATTCACCCGGCCCCACTTCCCGGTGGAATATACTAAGCTCGTTTGGTTTATATCGAGAAAGAAAGAGATAGTACCTCCCATTTTAACAAGTCGCTTCCTCGAGAAAGAAAAGGTCTTTGAAGCTGCAGCTCCGTGAGGAAATCGCAGCTTTCGACATCTTGGAGCTGTGAATAGTTTCAGAGAATACAAATATGAATATGAATATGAATTTGGTTTAGATATAAACACAAGAAATTTGGGGAAAAGAGGCTTACAAATTGGTCAGGTGACGCCTTGTTCTTATTGTTAAAATATGGTGGTGCTGCAGATGTTCCACCCAAGGTTGAATTGAATGGGAAAGGAAGTAAGCCCCTGTCAATCCACCTCACTTCGCTTACATAGTCTGGAATAAAGAACGATGATGGGAACCGGTGCCACTCACTTCCCACACACACCACTGCACCTGCATTGGAATGAAAGGACCCTAAATGTGTGAGAAAGAGAGTCTAGTTGCAGGGAAGAGAGAGAATGAGAGATAAAAGGCCATATTTGGCAACCGTAAGCTATTTTATTTTTTGAGCTTATTGAAAATACTTGTTTGGTTAGCTATAAGCTAGCTAGCTGTTTGAGAAGGTACTTCAAGTAGCGTTTCAATAAGCTAGCTGTTTGAAAGGCACTTCAAGTAGCGATACAATAACTAGCTTTTTGAAAAGCTACTCCAAGTGGCTTTTCCCCAATTTTGCACCTTATTATTAATTTTTAATTAACATGTTCATTTTAAGGTCATTTTATATCGTCATCTAGCTTATGAGCTAACTTATACCAAATACTTTATCAACAATAGGTAGCTTATCAACCAACAACTAGTTTGTTAGACGATATAACAAATAAATGAAATACACATTGACATTCAAGATTAAGTTTATTAATCCCTCCGTCCCATTCCATTTGCATAATTACCATTTTGAGTTTTCCGACAAAACATTTCCTTCTTTGGCAAATCTCAAAGTTAGAATTACCCGATTTTCTGGCTGTCATCATTACTAATTGATATGTTACTTTGTATTGAAGGCATTTGACTAACCCTCAACCAAATTCATAAAACTATGTTTCCTTCCAAACATTAAAATTACCATGGGATAACAATTTCATAATTGTAGCATTTGTCAAATTCCATCAAGATCAAATGACACAAAGTTGCTCTTACCTGATCCTGCATCATAATGATGTTCAAAGTGCTTGTAAATCTCTAAAGGAGCAGCATAACCATTTATGATAGAGAACGTCCTAGAGTGAGAAACGCATAGAATGAGGCCAATAAGCAACGGTCTCACGTATTTAGCCATCTGCAAATGCAAGAGGTTGATTATAATTTATGACCATAACTGGCAATGAAATTGTGAAATGATACTTTATACACAATTTATGCTTACTTTGTAGAGCAGAGATTGTTCGGTTCTATACCGCTCATAAAAAAAAGTCAGGAAGGCTATCGATGACAGCTGCAGCAGCAACACATATAAGAGGGTATATAGGATAAAGGAACCTGAAATTTCAAAAGTCATTCAGTCACAGTCGACACTCGTTGTGGCCTAAACCTCCAATAAAGAAGAAATG